CTAAACCCTCAGCCCTAAACCTAAACCCTTACGGTGTAAGGTTTAGTTTCGTGACCGAATCCCGACCTGCACAACCACGAAATTCTCGTTGCGCCAGCTCAGGAGAAACAGGTACTCGTTGTAGAGGCGCTCGGCAGCTTGGAGGTCCTTGGATGAGCTCTAGGGGGTGTAGGGTTTAGGGTTAGGGTTTAGGGTTTAGGGTTTAGGGGTTTAGGGTTTAGGGTTTAGGGGTTTAGGGTTTAGGGTGTAGGGTCCTTGGATGAGCTTTAGGGGTGTACTTGATGGGTAGTTATAAGTGGGGTTATAAGTAGGGTAACTATACTTATAACCCATATTAGGGGACTTGTAACCCTACTTATAACTACCCATGAACCTCCAAGTAGGGTTTAGGGTTCTTCTGATTTCTTGAACATCTGATTTCAGGCTTCAGGACAATGGGCTTTGTGATCCACCGCGAGGATCTCACCACTCTGGAATCTCTGCCGTAACGAGAAGTGCTGTTACTGGTCAGAGGAAGGTGCTGGTGGGTATTGTGATGCAAACTTGGTGGTGACCATAGGGGGGGATGCTGTTGGTGCTTCTTCCGACCCTGGTGTGACTTGAAGGCCCAGAAAACAGACCCTCGGCCCTGTGTTGAAGGCTAGGTTTAGGGCTGGGGCATAGGTTTTTCGTGCTGTGTTTTTGGTTTTGTTTTGGGGTTTACAGGCTTAGGTTTTACTTGGTAGTATAGAATAAATATGGGTCTCAATCGGTAGAACAGGGTGCTCTTTTTGTTTCCAGGGTCTCAGGGGGCTGTTCTAGCTATGCTTTTCTCAAGGCTTGACGTTGCACTTTGCCTGCTTCAGAGCTTTGAGGTTGCCGGGATTTTGGGGCTTCGGGCTTTTATGGCTTTTCAGTTAAGTTAACATCTTTTTGGTGACTTCCGAATGGAACGACTTTCCCAAAGCCCTGAACCCATAATCTTTCACTTCAGGCTTTCCAGTTGTGATTGCCAAGTCCAGCCGATGCTCCAACAAAGCCCTGAGGCGTCCCTATTGCGGGTGCTCTTCCGTGAGACCTGATATGTTCTATAACTCTTAATGCAACAGATGTAGGAACCTGATTAATAAACCCTAAACCCTAAACCCCATAGCCCCTCAACCCCAAAACCCCTCAACCGTGGGTATTGCCAGCCAGACCAATATATTAGGATTCATGTTCAGAACGCAATAAAGACCCAGGGCTTCGGAATCAGGCTCCTATAACTTACTTCCGCAACAAGCCCGGGAAATAAAAGGTTAATCTAAATCATGAGAACCCAAAAAGTTTAAAGGTTGGGTATTGGAGAACCAAGACTAAGCATACTAGTCCTCGAGGCCCTACACCTGAAACCTCGGAAATGTCGACCCAAAACCTGAGGGGTTTTGGTGACGGGGCTGCACTGTGAACCCTAAGTGGACGCGGAAATCTCTATATTTCCTTAACACTCCGCGCCAGCCATGAACGGGGAAGGCTTCGAAGGTCAGGATTGCCGCCTGAGCCTTAAGTAGGTAGCATTGTTAGGGGTACCCCTTACAGGGTACCCCTTCTGAACCCTAAATCTGGCTCTCTTAAAAAGGGACCTTATTGAGAGGGTCTATATCCCCAAGGGTCCCCCTAATCCTAGCTCCCATTAAGCCCCTTTCCGGGCGAAGGGCAGAAGCATCAGTCCGCCTGAACAGGATCCGTGACGGAAACTTTGTTCCCTCGTCCTGCAGCTGTGCTTCACTTGTTTTATACTGGGGTCTACCTTAAGAATCCAAAACCTACCTTTTTGTAGGGTCCCTATAAATCCCATATTAGGGTTTATAATAAGAACCTACAAAAAAGTGGGTTTGGGGTTCTTAAGGTAGGGTTTAGGGACAACAGAAAAGTCCTTCTGAGAGCAGCCATGCCATGCTTGACACGTCAATGTGTGCATGCGAGATGGATGTAACTACGCGAATCCTTGTTTGCTTTGTGTTTCTGCAAGCGGAGGATTGAAAAAAGCTACACAGTGACCTCCCGTTTTTTTACATGCAACAGGATAGATGTACTGTAAGAGCCAAAAGAATCAGAATACGGTTTTTGGGGGGCTCCTTTTTATAAGTACAGTATAATATACCCCCTCACACCCGATTCTAACTATTAAGGCCCCAAGAGTACTTACGCCCATGTCCAAAGCGTACAGTTCGAAACAACATGGGGGTTTCCGAAAATAGGGGACCCTAATATAGTACCCCTAAATAATAGGATCCCTATTATAAGGACCCCACAATAAGGTACCCCTAACTTTCTGAAACTCCCACATCACGCAAGGATAGGAAGGCAGACAGACAGATGCAGAATCATGCTCAGGGAGTTGAAGAATCAGGAGTTCGGCAAACACCTTATATAAGCCTTTCACCCTGACCCCATGTGCATAAGATAAACCCTGAACCCTAAACCCTGACCCATGTCCTGACCCACGTGCATCAGATCAGGGTCCAGCAACCCTTCAAATAACCCCCAAACCCCTAAACCACTCAACCCAACCAAACCAGGTGCCTCTTTCCGAACCCTAAACCCCAAAAGCCAAAACCTGAACCCTTTTCTGTTTTGCTCCGAGGCCTTTTTGCTTGGGCTCGGGCGCCGCGCATGGAGCTTTGAAGGTTTGGGGCTTGGGCTTTGAAGTTGGCCTTGTGATCGTCGGAGCCCCTGAACCCTAGCCCTAAACCCTGAACCCAAACCCACAAGCCCCGAAATGACTCTTTTCAAACCTGTCCTTCACGGCAGAGCCATGAACGTTCTTGAACTGTAGCATCTTCCTGACCTGCTTTTCAGGAGTACCTTAGGGGTCCTTCTGGGAGTCTCGTAGGTTTAGGGTTTTAGGGTTCGGGGTTTAGGGCTTTAGGGTTTTACGGTTTAGGGTGTTGAGTATTAGGGCTGTATGTGGTTGCTTCTGCGGTTGTCACGAACTCTTCAAATGCGGCAGTGCCTCCGTTCTAGGAGTCCTCATGGTACTATATGGGGTTCCATAAACTCACCCCACCCTGGCACTCTTGTCCAGGAGAAGAGGGCTCAGCCGCAGGGCTTCGGGTTTAGAGTTTGTGCAGTTTGGGGACTTGATGGTAAGGCTTGGTGTGTGAAGGCACAAAGTTGAGGGTCTTCGGTTAGTTTAGCCTACAGGGCTCTGCGTCTGAAGGGTTACTTACGATTGAGGCGTTGATGTGTTGGGCTTCGGGTTTACTTCAACTCAGCATCGGCAGAAACCCCCCTGAGCACTAGGCCCATAGACCACTCACCCTGCCGGATCGCGAAACACAAACGCGTCCTGCCGCCGTCGGAAGAAATCCTGCACTACTTTCGGGTTGAGGGTCTGGGGCTAATCCTTCGAACCCTTCAATCGCACACCTCGTAAACAGTACAAGCCCCAGCGCACACCCTCAACACCCCGTAAATAACAACCCCGGACTCAAAATCCTCAAGACCAAACCCTTCTACATCCTGATATGCAAAACGACTCCCAACCTAACAACACCTCCTCACATGCAACCCAGCCTTAACCATAAGCCATAAACCACTAAACCCCTTTCCGCCGCTCCCCGGACCCAACAACTGAAGCCCACCTGGGTATACATAGAGGGCAGCGCATAGATCTCGTCACTAAGCTCATGAACCTTGCCAAAGAGATACGACGCATAGTAGATCGCACAACATATACTCTCTGTGTGTATGCATAACTGTCTCTGTGTATATCTATATCTATATCTATGCCCATATCTGTATGTATACAGATATGACATTACGTACGTACGTATGCAGGTATGTGTGTACGGGCATGTGTATGTGTATGTGTATGTATATAGTATACGTATATGTATATGTATATGTATATGTATGTATGCATGCATTTATGTATGTATGCATGTATGTATGAATGTGTGCATATATACATGTATACATATATATATATACATAATATATATATATATATGTATGTATGTATGTATGTATGTATGTATGTATGTATGTATATATATATATATACATCCAAGTCACAAATGGGAGCAGTTCCAACGACTTTTTTTTGGCTAAGCCTTGAAGGTTTGCTTGGGCTTTTCAGGTTTCGGGTTGACAGACCTTCGGTGCGTTGGGCGGGGGAGGTCTCTTCTACGGCTGTTCTCAGACCCTCACATCGACCCTCTACTAGATGCGAAATACCTGCAATGTGGGCCTGTGTACGCCTCAGGGCAAAACCAGGGTCCAGGCTAGGGCGTGTAGGTTTTGTTAGGATTCAGGGTTCAGTATTTCCGGGCCGTTCTAGACCAGGGCTTGAGGTTTCGGGGGGCTGTCGCAAAACAGGGTGACTTGCCAAATACGCATTTGACCAACAGTCTACATGAGTCAAAACCCTCGCCGATAGATCCCAATACCAGAAGGAACCGTCGAACTAGTCTAATACTCCCTATCCGAGACTTTGAACCCTAAACAACCAAGCATCTTGCATTCCATCTCCCAACTTACCGACGTTCGCTCTCAGAATCCTTACCGGACGCCCCAGCCACCCATCAACATAAACCCTACATCCGAAAGGCTGCCCTTACAGTGCCCTTGAAGGGTCTTGCCCTTCCGGTACGTGGCCCTTAAAGGGGGCCGTATAGCACCCGGAACCTAAAACCTAAAGTGGGGACGCTTACAGTTTTCCTAAAGGAACCCCAAGCCGCTTCAAGTAATTCGAACCCATGACAGAACACCAAAAGAAGACCTAATTGTAGTAGAATATTCTCCAAGACACAATTCTAATCCTATATTAATCCCTGATAGTAACACTGGCCCTTGTAGAACCTTTTAAGGAACCCTTTAAAGGAACCCCAAGACCCAATTCTAATCATCTAGGCCCCTATTTTACCTATACCATTTTTTGGGGGTCCCTCATTATAATTGTAGTATAACATACCCCCAAGACCCAATTCTAATTATCTAGGCCCCCAAAATCAAAGAAGCGCCTGCAGCTGCAGCAGTGGCTCCCGCGTGGCAAAGAGCGGGTCGGGTCCGAGGGGCCCGGAATGCCTGAAGGCTTTCAAGGTTTAGGGGGTTAAAGGGTGCCTTAAAGGGATCTCGATGAGCCGAGCACCACGGCGTCGGTTTTAGGGTTTAGGGTTTTCTTGGGGTATACTTGGAGGTTCATGGGTAGTTATAAGTAGGGTTATAAGTCCCCTAATCTGGGTTATAAGTCGAGTTACCCTACTCATAACCCCACTTATAACTAGCCATGAACCTCCAAGTAGGGGGTTAAAGGGTGCCTTAAAGGGATCTATAGGGTTCCTTGAAAGGGCTTCAAGGTTTACTTGGAGGTTCATGGGTAGTTATAAGAAGGGTTATAAGTCCCCTAATATGGGTTATAAGTCTAGTTACCCTACGTATAACCCCACTTATAACTAGCCATGAACCTCCAAGTAGGGGGTTAAAGGGTGCCTTCAAGGGATCTATAGGGTTCCTTGAAAGGGGTTTAGGGGTTCAGGGTCTAGGGCTTCAAGGTTTACTTGGAGGTTCAGGGGTAGTTATAAGTAGGGTTATAAGTCCCCTAATCTGGGTTATAAGTCTAGTTACCCTACTCATAACCCCACTTATAACTAGCCATGAACCTCCAAGCAGGGATTAAAGGGTGCTTTAAGGGATCTATAGGGTTCCTTGAAAGGGGTTTAGGGGTTCAGGGTCTAGGGATGTAGGGTTTAGGGGTTTAGAGTTTGGGGTTAAGGGTTTAGGTTGGAATGCCTGGGACAAGGGGCCTTATTAATTAGAATAGGCTTTGGGCTATTTTATAGTATACTTGTAATAAGGAACCCTGAGCCCCAAACCCTCAACCCGGAACGGCACGTAACAGTTTAGGCTTCCATACTAGGACTCCTCTCTTGGACTCCCTAGGGGTTTTATAGTGGCCGTACAAGGCTTACGGCTTGGGGTTCCCTACAAGTTCGGTGTGTGGGGGGTGGGGTGGGGTGGGGGCGGGGCGGATAAGCTTCCCTAAAGCTTCTTGTCATGGTTGTAGGGGGTTGAGGCGGTTGAGGTGCCAGAAAGTTGAGACATCATTGTCCAACTGCCGAAACGCTGTAAAGCATGGGGGAATCCCAGCACCAAGCGTCCTTAATACCCTTGCCCCCGAAGCCCCAAACCCCTAAACCCTAAACACCTCACGGCCGCAGTAGGGGTTTAGGATAAATATAGGCGCCCTCCTGGAGACGCAGGCTAGGAGCCTGGAGGTTTCTATACTCTAACAGATTCATCCTCACCAAGGCTCTTGTAAGAGGTTCACAAGGCTCTTCAGTGGAGTTTCAGAGCATGAGGGACTCCCTGGTAGAAGCCTTAACCATCAGGATGCATACAGCATGCCTGATACCACGGACTGCCCTAAAGGGACCCCTACCAAGTTTGAGAAACTCCCAAGACGTCAGGGCAGAATGGCTCCGAATACAGACAGAGGCCTTAATGATTTGAACCCGGCTTTAGTGTATTTAGCATATTAGTAAAGGGACAAGGGTATACCGTATACTAACGATTACATGCTCGCAGACCCCTGCATTTATAGGCATTGCATGGTATGTATAAAATGAGCGTCCTCAGGAACGATTTCCCAAGTTTTACGGCGCAAGCATCTTAAACCCATAGGCCCCAAACACCATTTTGTAGCGGCCTTAAGAATTTTCAACGGGGTCGTGGGCGCATATTACAGCATACTTCGGATACGGGCTATCAGGGGCTAGTCTTGCTAACTTTTCCGACTGCTACCCTGTATCTGCAAATGTTCAAAGCGACCATGCACACAGGAGTTCATGCAGACATACATGCATTTTGAGCACGTCGCTCCCATGGTAGAGGTATCGAAACGAGGAAAGCACTTTCCTCGACTTGACTGCTTCCTGAGCAGCCTTTGCACGCACCCTGTCGTTGTCCCTATGCTTGACCTTTAGGAACTTTTTTGCCGGCCATCAGCAGGTTTGGGAAAAAACACATTTATCACGAAGTAGGCCGACGGGACTTTCGTTGGCAAACATGTCACCCAACCCATCGGTAACGCAAGGATATCTCCGACACCGTAGGCCGGGCCAACTCAACTTTCAGTGAGATCAGGACGCCTCCCTGCCACGCAGGGCTCTGGATGACCTGGAGCAGCTCGTTCGGCAGCTGCTCGAAGGTCATGGCCGCGTCCGTGCTATGGGTTTAGGGCCCTGAACCCAAAGCCCTCTACTCGAAATAAAGAGACCTGAAGCCTAAATCGCAATCCACAGAGACCGGGGCAAATCGAAACCTGGGACAGACAACCCTGAGCCTAACGCCTTTAAGGTTCTGTATTCTTCTAAAATCTTTAGGTCTCTTGTCAGTAACCTCTAGTCTCTGTTTAATGTTGGTATTATTGCGATGGCTCGTGCTATTAGCATTGTTAATTTCGAGCTTGCGGTTTTGAGGCTTTCAGGCATTGGTTTTTCGACGAGGCTAAGTTCAAGGGTAACAGGAGCTTACATGGGGTTCGTCGCATACATCACCCTAGAAACTCAAGCAATCCCATATCCGTGGCTTTTGGCAGTTTTTAGTTCTGCTGTTCGGAGTACTTCTGGCGTGAGGGATAAAACACGCTGCCCCATGCTGCCCGTATGTGGTCACAGTATACCACGGCGAGATAGTTTTGATGCTTGCACTGCCGTAAGAATTCCTCCCTGAATCTAAGTGCCCTAAACTATGGGAGCAACAGGGTCCCTCGGCATGGCTAAGACAGGAGTTTGTCCATCGGCCACAATATCCTCGAGGAATCCCAAACCCTACAATTTAAACCACAAGCCGATCCAGAACTTCGCAAAACACGAAAACAGGTGAATCCTGAACTCTCTACCCTCGATCCTAAATACCCTATACCCTAAAACCTGTGTTCGAAAAGCCCTATGCTAATACCGTACACCACCGTACATACGTCCCAATATCCGACCTTAACTTTACAGCCGGAGCCCTCAACTCTAAACGCCCCCCCCCCCCCCCCCCC